TCAACAATGCCAACAGATATTTGTTTACACGGCATTGTTGTGTTCCACAACAATGCCGAGTAAACAAATATCTGTTGGCATTGTTGATGACGTCATTTTTTGACGACAAATTGGTTGACGACTACGAGGAATCACAAATTTTTATAGTAGATAAGATTTTAGTGTTACAAATATCTCATTTAAGCACTCACAACGACGTTTTTGCTGTTTACTACATAGGTATTCTAAGACGAAGTGAAACAAAATCCGCACTCCACTAAACACTTGTTTGCCAAACAGAACCACAAGAACAACTGAACCAATTTATTAAACATCCCTTAGGGATGTTGACTAGACCTGCAGGAAGCAATAAAACCTTCTCCACCCTTGTACAGGCTGTTTCTGAAGTAAGTAGTCCATTACAATTCTGAAAATTACGAAAATTGAGCGAAACAGCTTGGTTTGAATATCTTTGAAATGCGAACCAATCATGCAAAATGAATGTCATTTTCGTGTTTAGCAGCTCAAAATTAGTAAAAATTGGTTAGTTTCATCTCCGATATATTTTGGCTGTTGAACGGCGTTATCAGATGATCTGGTTCATGTAACCATGAAAGAAATTTTTGATTGGCACAAGCTTGGGTTAAAAACTATCATTCATTGACAGAATGTTTACTGTATTCTTTCTCTAGTCTGATAATGTGTAAATATTGGCTTCATTGTTTCACTTTTTTCCCCACTTACATGTCTCTAAATGACCATTTTAAAACGTTTTCTTTTTTATCAGTTGCTTTAAGTTTGTTTCCATTTAATGCAGTTACATACTGTTTAATTTTATGTACACAAACTTCCACATAAATATACTCAGGATTTTAAAAATTATTTGAAAAGTACTGTGATCTGTTCGTGTATCTCAAAGTACACATTTAAACCATTACAGGTGATATAATAGTTGGATAGGTACTACCAGAATGCGCACATCAATTACAAGATAGAGTGAGGAAAACCTGAAAAAGGGGGCTATGAATGTTCATTAATGTTACAAATTTCTGCATATCTGCTCAAAAACCAACTTACAGGCAACCATATTTTTCAAGCCTTACATGAACTTCATCTGTTATCTGATAAACAATTTTCACTTTTGTCTGGTGATACTTCATAGCCATCTTAAGTACTGAATGTCACTAGAATGAGCAGACACCCCAAGGCCAAAAGAGTATGTGATTGGTTTTGGTGCTTTGTTTAAATCTATTTATATTTTGGCTATATGTTGCCTTTGTGATTTTAGCTGAAGTGAGAGTACTTCATCACCTACTTATTTGAAGAATGACAAGCTTTTAAATTTGTGGAAGGAGAAATTTTATTTATTATTTATTGTGTAGTGCAATATGCTTTATGAATATCTGTTGTTGAGCCAGAACTATAAAGTCACAAAACAAGGACACAACCAACAATCTCTTGTTATATGAGCACATGTTTTTGAGGGTTTAGACTAGACAGTTACATTATTTACGCATGTAGGTTTAAAATTAAGTTAATTTAACTGATAAGTTGGTTGTGTGCATAATTGTACTATATGTTTACTCACTTTTCACACTTACATAGCTTCAGTGGCTGGCAGTAGTGATACAAAATGGCTTTGAATTTTTACTGCACATAAAAGTTAAAACATTGTCTTGAATTTGTGCAACTACAACTTGGTCTTTTTTATTCAATATGATTATACAGTAGTTTCAGTTTTTATGAAATCTGTTATGCTTGCCATTTTGGTCCAAATATAACATGCCCCCTCTCAAGGACCACTGCTCTCATATCCATTCAGGTTTAAATTTATAATGTAAAAATTTTACAAAATATTTCCAGAAGTGTTTTAATGCACCAGTAGTTATTTACTTTGTTTAGGAATTCAGATGAACTTATCCTGTAAAAGTAGAACTGATGGATGTTGATTTCTTTTAATGTAACCTTTCAGAATTGGTATATTTGATAAAATGTTATATAGTCTTAAAAATCCCAAGTTTACATGTTGAATTTTTGGCACTGAAACTTTAACCACACAAAAGTGGTTAACATCAAGTAATTAATGGTCTCATTTTACTCTCATAATGAACACTTCTAATTATTAATCAGTGGTGGTATTTAATCTCACTACCTCACATTTTAGATTAATACCATAATTGTAGTCTTGCTGCTGCTTCACTGCCTGAAGACATTATTACTTGATGCCCAGGGACATTCATGATGCACTAAGTATCTGAACATTTCCATTCACTTGCAACTTTTGTTGCAAATGTCACAAATATTTGTTTTTAAAGCTGTCTATGTAAGTATGGTTGTGAATCAGATGTCTCGATCATATATATGTGACATTGTTTTTGTATATGATAATGTTTTATTTTTCTTTGTTACAAAGAATATGGCCAAAGCAGTTATTAAATTTATAATGGAAATTCATACAGTTTTATTATTTGAGTTTTGAATAATACATCCTGAAATATCTAATTCCTTTTGTCCTTATTTCCAAAATTCATTTAATTTTTGTAATAAAGTGAATATGGGACATCTGAGGTCCATGAACCAGAAACAATCCTTGGAAACACTTACTTGGCCCCATATTTAGCCCTTTCCATGCTGAGTTTTTAGTGAAAGAATTCTGCTGGTGTGTTTTTGTAATGATGTATATGTAATTTCTATTGCGAGAAGAAACAAATAGTTGCCTGTAACAGTTGGTAGTCTTCAGGAGCAAGTTTA